GGTCAGCACGGAAAAGAGCGGACGGATGCCCAGTCTCGCCACCGTAAAATAAGGGCAAATTAATTCAATTCATCACTGCATGTACATGAAAGGTAGCATTACATACTTATGTTGGAAAAACTAATCTCTGCATAATTTAGCGAGAAGCACAGTAGTGGAATTTGTTAATTTTCCATCTTGGTAGCAATGTGCTGCTAGTCTTGCCCATAAGCAGTACAACAGAGGGCAATCTAGTGAATCCAAATGTGAATCAAGCTGATGTGACATCATGAGAATTTTTGCAAAACGACTCACATCCACCATTGCAGTGGTGGGAGAACCACTTCCTTTACCATATGACAGTTTTAGAAAGAAAAAAATTTTGTCAAAATTTTTTTAAGACTTAAACAGTGCAGGTCATTTCTGGTTGCTGAGCAATGTGATTCGTTTGTATGATGCCCGGCAAAAGCTCCGCTGGATACTATCATCTGCTTTACATTAAATAAGTTTGGTTCTCTGAATTTGACAAGTTAATAGAGAACGTCAATAAATCAGAATGTTAGTGAACCCTCAGTTCACCACAAATCTCCATAGGATGAAATAATCAATCGTTTGTGTTATAAATTTTTATCTGATTACTACGTATACCATCCATATTTACTATATTTCCTTGATGGGACTGAATTTTTGTTGTGTTATGGTAAATTTTTGTATGTGCTAACAAACGTATATATATTTAATCTAAATCCATACCTGATCATTTATTCTTTACATTACTCCTATGCTCTTAAAGTACTTATAAATTTTTGTTATGAATGAGGATTGTATTAACTAAAAAAGTTTAGAGGGTTTTATAGTTTTCAAGAGTCCATTACGTGTAATATTCGGCCACAACTACGGCAGGAAGGTAAGCGAACTCCTACTCGGCATTCTTCTTGTTGAAATATTGAGTCTGGATCTGTCGGCGCAGAGAGGACTTGTCGATGGTGCCCCCTCTTAAACACAATAGCCAACATCGTTTTGACACCAACAAACTGCAGAACTACGGCATTCCCTGTTAGGTCCAGCAGTTGTTTTCACTTAGTAGAACCTATTTCTTCTTCACATTGCATTGTCACCGTCTTGTTTGATGCTTCGTAAAGCTCATCTTCCCATTTGAAGAGTCTATCTTTCACAAAATTAATAGTAAAAGCCTGTTTCTTTACATTCATACATTGACGTCTATTCTCTTGCCTTTTAAATAATTTTTGTTGGGACCCTTTGAAAGCCTACATTTGCACTGCATCTTATGCCCGCAATTTAGGAACGTCATATGAAGAGTGCGCCTATCTTGTACGTCAGTTTTTAAATTTTTACTTCGTATTGTATTATCTATAACCGAGTGTAGAGAACATATAATGCTGCCCACAAAAACAGCGTTTTGACAGAAAATGTTCTATACACAGAAAAAGTGGGATAAAAGCCTTCCCCTATGTAGTGCATTACTACGATGTTTAATTTTTTAACCCCCCAAAAAACTCAATAAAATTCCTCGCACTTCATTCAGCATCTATCAGGAAATATCAGAGATTAGAAAGAAAGTCGCTTTACGGTTTCTTTCGCCGCAATTTACGTCATATAAGAGTGGCTTCCCAATCTTTGACGCATTTTTAAGATTTTTTTACGCTCGTATTTTACATCATATACCTTAGTGTAAGAAAGTTTGTGTAATGCATTAAGCGCGACTACCGGAATGACCACGGCACGGACGAGCCGACGAACATTTGCCAGCAAATAGAGTTTGCGCGTTCAAGACCCCAGTCAAACGGTTTCAGGCATCTATACCCATTGTTGTTAAGCGTCAGGGAATTACTCAATCTATAGTTCCGGTGTTATAAAATTATGTTGGCGTGTCCATTGTCGCATTCATTTCTCAAGAAAATGAATTTGAAAATGCAAACTTTAAACTCTATGAGATTATGACATTTTTGACATTAATTCTGTAAATTGTGGTTTACTTGCAAACAACCTTTTGAACTGAATGTAGGCAAGGCGTAATTTAATGTACTACACAAGGCTAATTGTTTAATTCAGTTTCTGATTGTAAGATCTGCAAAGCATAGTATTACTTCAATGTCTGAATGACTATTTCCTTGATTATTGATTTTATAAATTATACTTTTGTACTCGTAGTTTAATTCAATGAGTTCGTTACTTCTTGTAGTGGATACAGGTTTTGTAAAATCTATGGACAAATCTATTCTTAGTGTTTAAGAAAGTAAATAGAAAATTCGGAAACTTGCCATCTATCTTCCAATGTTAGCATGAAGCGGAAGGAATGGGGTAGGCAATTGTCAGATTCATAAGTTGATCACAGAAACATTCAACAGGATGCGCAATTTCATATATGTTAAAATTACAAGAATGTGGGAAGAAAACATATTAAAGATCTGAGGCACGGTGAAATAAAAGATGTAACAGATGAAGAAAATCTTTTGACTTCACGAAAGGAAGTGTTCTTAAGGAAGAATGCATTTGGAAATACTAAGATCAAAATTCAACCTGTAAAACGTCAACTAGGCGCTAATAAATATTAAAATGAATTGTCGCAATATGACAGGAAAGACTATTATACTACCATGATGAAAATTATGGTAAAACAAACTACAACAAACAAAACTTGATTGGTTAATAGATTTTGAGGAAGAAAATGTTATTAACTAACGAAAATATGTAATTGATAAAATTCTTCTCCATAATATTCTTATCATTATAACAATTTTCAATTTGAAAGCCGCTAGTTATAATAATAATTTAAATTTCAAATTTCTGAGAGTGAGGAGGAGCCTTTTCAAGAGTAAGGAGTGTTCTCTTTGTATTTTAGTAAATACTGGAAATTTAAATATAAACCGATATATGTGCTAACAAGTGTTACTTAGTGAAAAAGTGTCTTAAAATTAATTACAACGTCTAATGAATAATTAACAATTTTATTTCTTCCGCTAGGATGTTCTCTAAATTGTCTCACTCTTCAAGGAGTTGCCTTTATCCTCTTATTTACTTTGGCATTCTCTATAGGGATTCTCCTATAGTTTTGACAGTAGTTCTTCTTTCATGATGAATATCAGGAACAGCTTGAAAGGTACAATTAAATTTATGTTTTTTTTAGCAGGAGATTCAAATAATACGTGCAGTTAAAAATGAGTTCTATTGAGTTATAATTGATGATTCTCTTGAATTGTTAGGATTTAAAAATATTCGATGGCAAATGTAGACCAAATAAGTTATTGTAATTTTCTTTCTTCAGAATGTCGAATGCATTAGGACTGCTCTGTATCACATGCAGCAGGTACGCAACTTGCATGCACAAGTGAGTCGAAGTATTTTGGCAGATACACAAGATCCCTCTGCAACATTGTAAAGTTATATATAGTGCGCGCCAGAAGCATCTTTTTGAAATGAGTGAAGCAATACATACTGCGAGGTTGATGTTCCTCACAGGCGGCAGAGGACTGTTGAATCAGCAGAGAGACGAATCAAAAGACAGAAAAAGGTATTTTAAATGTTTGTTATTTGCAAAATTAATGTGTAGTTGTAATTATTAATTGTCCGCGCTGTGTGTATTTAGGGGATTATATGATGGTAATCAGATGTAGAAAATATAGCGCATGAACGAATATCTCGATACACTACCAATAAGTATCATAATCGAATGTTCTTTTGTTCTTCCTGCTACTGTGCTCTATCCTTCCTACCACACTTTTTTCTCCTCCCAAAAATAAGTAGTAGTCTGTTTTGACATATCTCTTTTGAGCATAGCGATGTCAATATAACTCATAGGGGCTTCGCAGTTGTCTGGTTATTATTGTGTTACTAATTATTCAGCTGGATATTTGTGGTGTTAGCTTTTTGTCTGTTCTGGTTTGAGCGAGCTGATGAAATTCGAAATGCCAGCTGGTCTTACTTGAATTCTACAGATCTAAGTGTTTTTGTTGACATTCGCCTATTATTCTGCCACGAATATGGTTTTGTTTCTATATACCAGTAGTGATCTTTCCGTTCTTATGTTCATTATGTTAAGTAGGCAGTTCCAACTATGTAGATTATATCCTCGAGTGGCACATGTGTATTCTTTTCTATTTTATTCTAAGCAACATTGTCGAGGCATAGTAAAAGATTTGGCCAGTCATTTATGCATTCCAATCAACTTTACATTTGTTATTGTACAAACAGAGAGAAAAAATTAATTTATATTTGTCTGCTTTGATTGTTTGAAATATATAAACCGACTGGATAAATTATCGATGGAACATTGCAAATCAAAGCCAATTACTGGTAATAAAGATAGGTTTAAATAGTAAAGTAAAATAAAAATACACGAACTAAGGAAATAATAAAATAATCATGCACATAAAGATAATTGCAAAGGATGAAGGTTCACCATAGATGAAATACTT